CAACGCATTAAAATACGAAATGATCATTGTCCTGAAAATTAGTTAAATTCTGCCAATTGATGCAAAAAAGAGCAATTGAATAAAATGCTCCCAAAACTTCTCCGACACAAAGGCCTGATAGTAACCGACGGCAGAGGTGGCGGCAGGATCAGCCACCGTCTCATTCTTGGCAGAAATGACAAGCAGATATTTGATGCCGTCCAACACTACGAACTCGCCCCCTTCGACGTTCACAAACACCAACTGTTCTGGTCTTTGGTTTCCAATTGCTTGTTATAGTCCGTCACTGCAAAGTCCCCGATCTCTTTCAAATGGGGTCGCTGATGTTTACGGCTCCCAATGGCACCAGAAGACCCCGTCGGTCCAAGGCAGCGACTACTAAAGGAAGGAGGACGAGGACGAAAAGGAGGAGGTGTTGAGGGCTCATCATGCCGTTGTTTTCTTTATTTTGTTGAAGATTTGTTACTGCACACTCCACAAAATGACAAGTGATGACCTTCACTGAAGCATGGCTGGATTATACATGTGACGCAGATGCATGTATGATGAAGGGCTCTTTATTTTTTCGGTACAAATTTAATAGATTTTAATTATATTTGTTGAACTCACCATATGCTTTGAACCTGCACTCCTTCGCATTAAGTTTCTATTAATTTTGTGATGTGATTTCTTCCCATATTTGTTTGCTACATTATTTGGTTTGTGATTCTCACATACGTCCCCAAGAAGAGAATACGAACTTTATGAAAGTTCAGTAATATCCTTAAGGAACGTTTCACATTCTCAATGACAAGGTCCTCATAACTTGTTGAAATCCAATCATTCATTTAAAGGTCAAATATGTTTTAGTGATATTTAACGATTATCTCTGACCATCAATGAATGGTTGTACTTACAGCGTTTAAGTATCATAGCTATTCTCCACTTTTGGGTAGCTAAAGTCATTTTGTGTTATAATAAGCATGTATATTATGATGGCTAACGATTTTGTTTTAAGTCTTTTAAGTGGACCGTCTCATGTAATTGAGAATACAGTTTTGGGAAGAAACTTGTAACTCAATGAAATCTAAAGTTTATTTATTTTTTTCTACTCTTTATTAAAGTTATTTGTGAGTTTTATCAATTGCAACGGAAAAGAACAAGTATTGTTTTATTCATGTTAAGATTCATGTTTTGTATGTCTTTGAGGGGAGTTGGGAGAGATGACTGTCTAGCTAGCTCCACCAACCAATGGAAGGTTCTTTAAGAGTTGTATTGTGCACCTCAAAGGAGTTCAGAATGGTAACTGTCTAGACTTCAACTCTTATGTGAAGGTAGTTACGCTTCTAACGGATGATGAATTAAGCCTTATATTGATGCTTATGATGGTCAACTGTGATTTTATTCAAGTTTTTCATTCGTTTAAGAATGAGTTTGTTTTTTTATTTTTTGGTAACGGTATTAGGGAGTTTAATTTAGTTTTCTTTTAATAAATCATTTCTAAATCTAGGTAAGTATAGCAATTCCAAATCCCTATTGAATTATTTGTTAAAAATAGCTATTTCCTACATTTGGTTTGTGATTCTCACATACATTCAGTAAGCAATTTGGCCACACTCGATAAAAAATAATAATTGAACCCACAAAAGATCAAGAAAATTAAGAATTCAACATCAATTATGCACTCAATTTTTTTTTATTATAATGAAAGTTGATGACAGCTTCAAGCAATCCAGAGTACATTAGAGCATATTTAAAGACAACGATTAAAATACGAAATTATCATAATCTCCATAAGATTAGTTTGTTTTTGACAATTGATGAAATGAGATCAATTGCCTGAAATGCCCTCAAGCCTTCTCCCACACAATGCCCTCATAATTGTCAGCAGCGGTGGCAGCAACGGGATCAACCACCAACTCGTTTTTTGCGGAAATGACAAGCCAGTAGATGATTCCCGCCACCACCTGGCTGTCACCCCGGACGACTCTCTCAAACACCAACTTGTTCTGGCCTTGGGCTTGCTTGTTGTACTCTGACACCGCAAACTCTGCGATCTCTTTCACATGGGGGTCGCTCATGTTCTTTATGGGCTGCCAACCGCCGGTTATAAGGCCCCGTCGGTCCAGCGGCGGCCACCAGAGGAAGGAGAACGAGGACGCATCGTGACCGTTGATTTCTTCAATTTGTTGAAGTTTCTTTTACTGGCTCCACTCCACAAATGACAAGCGATGACCGATGATCTGCATTGGGGGATGGCAAGATATATAGGCGGCGGTTGGACGTGCATAACGGGCAGGAAAGTAAAGGGTTTGGTGTACATGGAAGGTTAGATATTGACTTGTGTATTCTGGATATTACTGTCCATTATTGGGTCATTCGGTGATTTCCTTCATGATTAGGGGTGGGCACGGTGCGGTTCGGTGCGGTTCCACCCTTAAATTGGAAACGAAACCGAAATATATTAACGGTTCGATTCGGTGTGGTTCCACTTAAATTTATTACTAAAACATTACGGTTCGGTCTACACCGGTTCCGATTCGGTTCTTGCCGGTTTACGGTTCCTAATAATAAATTATTTGAACACCAAATCATTATGCATTCAAATACATCTTCTAAAATTGATTACATAAAGTTGCATACAACACATCTTTTTTAATGCAAATGTCTTTGTTAGTGGCACCAAGTCAACAAAAAGAGACAACTAAAATACATATGCACTGGTCAATCAGTCAACAAACAAAAAAATGATGAAGCAAATTGCAGGTTTTCAGACTTCAGAGAGTAAGCAAGAAGCAGCAGCTCCTATACACAATTTTTCAACGTATTTTTCAACCTATTATACCATGACATGTGTGTGTATATATAATTTATTTATTTATTATTAATAAAACGGTTCGGTTCGGTTCGGCCGGTTCTTGGTCATTCGAAATCGGAACCTGAACCGGTTTGAATGGTTCGGTTCGGTTTTTCACTCAAAGTTGACTTTTCCGGTCAACACGGTTTTTTTCGGTTTTTTTTCTTACGGTTCGATGCGGTTTTGCGGTTTTTATGCCCACCTCTATTCACGATTGCTTTCTTGATATATTTAGGGTATGGTGTTATCCTTAAGTAGACTACAGTTATCCGTATTTATAAAATGAGAGGGCAAAAATGGTGAAATATTCAGTATCCTACAATCCCCGCACTTTTATAGAAAAGTATAGTGAACAACTACCCCAAACAGAATGAGGATAAAATAATAATTTTCTACATAAATCTTCAAACCCAGGAGACCAATATAAAAGAAAATTAGATAAACTCAAGGGACAGACATGGTCAAAGGACAAACAAGGATGGATCATCGATCATGCATGTGAGACAGAGAGTAGTGAGATTCTCTCCCCTACAATTTTTCTCGTCTTTTCTTTTTTTCCTATTTGAAAGCATGTTGGCAATCGAGTTTTTACATTAAAATAAATTGATAACATAAGTAATCGGATTCTTTTTAAACTCATGCAAAGTTCCACGCATTCCTTAGAAATTCACTCTCTCAAATGATTGTCTCGAACTATTTATTTATTTCATCTCACTTTTAGATCAACAAAAACTATACATAGTTATGGATGACCAACCTGATAGATAAAATACAAATGCTTGTTATGTGGGTATGGTCATGGTTTGGAATTTTAATTTGCATCATGTCAATATTTTTTGGCAATTTACTAAAATGATCATTTTTTTTTTTGTCAAGCGATAGATTTGTTAAATTAGAGAATCAATGGAATTCAAACATACGCTGTGGTGCAAAGACATCACTCCTTTCCACCAATGCACTAGTGTGTCATTTGTTAAAATGGTCAAAAATCAAATTTTGATTGTCAAACTGATGGGACACTCTTATAAATCCATCATTTAAGGATTTAATATTGAAATGATAGCCCATTTTCTAAATTGGGAGATTACAATTAGGGGTGGGCATTAGAAATTGAAAACTAAAATCAAAACACGAACCAAATTGAATCGGACCGAACAATTTAGTTTTTTAATCTTCAAACGATTTCGGTTTAAAATCGAACCTATAGTATAAGAAAATGATTGGATTTTGATTTTAATTTTAAAAATTTTCAACCATGAGGCTGCAGTACATTTCAAAATTTTTTTTTTCCATCTCTCTCCTTTTCCTCACATTGCCAAACTTATGAATAAGTCAAGCAACATTGTACCTCGGTCACTGCATGAGTCAAATCAAGCAACCAAAACATTAAAAAAAAAAATATTGTCAACAGTCAAGTGTGTTCTGTGGGACTTCAAAAAAAGAAAAAAAAGAAAAAAAAAAAAAAAGGTGTGTTCTGAGGAGAAAAAGGGAAAGGCGGGTGGGCAGCCTTGAATCCGAGTCAAAAGGGCCAGAAGAGTGTTTAATTTTTATTATGACACTAGTCCTCCTCTAAAACATACAATTAATAAGGAAGAATAACAAAAAAATTATATTAATCATACTGAAGAGCTGAAACAGTGAAGTCACATTAACCTAGTTCATCACCTCTTCATCGGTCCATAATAAGATCAAATCGGAGGGTCCAATTTCCTTTAGGAACGGATCGTCCAAAGGCTCCACTTAAAAAGGAAATTTTTGGGCTGTGCCCAATAAAGTGAAACAACTGCTGTTTCTAATCTGACCCATTAAATATGGTGAAAAAGCAAAAACAAAATGAGATTGACCAGAAAACCAGTCGCCTACTGTGTAACAAGTTAGATCTTTAATGGTTTGTGCTCAGAATACGGAATGATACATTACATATTACATTACGTGTACCAAATAGCATGGTATTTAATGATTGAATGATTATCTAAGTATTGATTAATATGTATATTCTCTATTTGCTACACGTTATTTGGTTTGCAAATTTAGTTTAAAATTTTGATCTTCCTAGCATTGTACTTTGTATAATAATATGCAATGTACCACTCGATGTTCCGAACATAATAAAAAATATCTCACAATTAACATGATATACAATGACTACCAAAAAGGGCAAGAATTTCAAATCAAAACCAGAACCTCAATGTTGTGATATAACATTTTGCCGGAAGAAAGGGTTCAAAAGTTCATAAGGATGCGAAGAAACCACAAAAAAGATTAAACCACACCAGTAACGGTAGCAATTCAAGAACGCCTAATGCTAATCATATGAAACTTGTTCAATCTAGAAGTACTTTCCCGTGATCATTAGACGAAGTTGATGCTGCTGAAGTCTTCTCCGAAGAGGTGGAACCAGCAACATTGCCATCGCCAGTGAGCTTGGCGGGTGGAAAAACCTCGTCAAGGGTTTTTTCGCGAACAAGAACACTCACAACTTCAGACATTGTAGGTCTGACACTAGGACCTAGAGTGGTGCAATACACTGCTAATTTCATAATGACCAGGGCTTCTTTTTCATCATATTTAGACAAACTTTTATCAACCAAGCTCATCAAATTTCGTCCGGCAAGTGCTTGATAAGCCTGCACTTATGCAGGATGGGTTGTTAGCATCAAGCTCGAATGCGTACACCTAAAAGTGCATAATCAAATATGGAGAAGAAAACACTAAAGCACAACCCTGTCACTCTTGCTTACCCTATCTAAAAGAACCTGAGTTTCCTCGCTTGGTTTGCTCAATATGTTTCTCTTCCCACTAACAATTTCAAGTATGACCACCCCAAAGCTGTAAACATCCGCTTTGCTCGTTAAAACATTTGTTTGGAAATACTCTGGCGCCATGTAGCCTCTGTAGTTAGCATAAGCATTTAGTTTTATATAGACTTAAATTTGCCTCATAAAACTGATGAGTTACTAGTTTACTTACTGCGAAACTTCTCTTGTGATGACCTTAACTTTCTCTTCGTTGGTATAAAAACTTGCAAATCCAAAGTCTGATAACTTAGCCTCAAAATTTTCATTAAGAAGAATATTAGCGGATTTGATGTTCGTATGAAGGATCTTTACTCTCGGATGCTCATGTAGATGATCCAAACCCTTTGCTATTCCCAAGCAAATTTTAACCCTTGTATTCCAATCAAGCTTGACTGTGCTAGAACTACTCGAGTCTGCAGTTGCGTACACTTCAATACGTTATATGTTGTATTCGTCTTTCATGATAGTTTTTAAACCATTATATGCATCAAAACATCACAGTACAAGTAAACAAGAAGTAGATGCATTACCAAATAAGATGTCGGCAAGGGATTCCATATACTCGTAAACAAGAAGTTGGAGGTCTTTATCAATATAAACATCCAACAGTTCAAGGATATTGTTGTGTTGTAATGACCTTATGGTGCCAATTTCCTTGTTCAGGCCTTTGATATTTTCGTTAAATTGAGCGGGATCTAGTTTCTTCACGGCCACAGTGTGACCTTGCAGTTCTGCCTTCATCCACACAAAAATTATAGAATTGAACAAAATTACAAAAATTATAGAATTGAACAAAATTACAAAAATTATAGAATGTATACAAAATTACAAAAATTATAGAATGTATACAAGTACAGAAATTTACCTTATAAACTGTCCCAATACGCCCAATTTTTTTATTGTCGCTAAAATTTTCAGTAGCATTTATTAATTCTTTGACTGTAACAAGTTTGTCTTTAAGCTCGTCATCTTTTTTTTCTTGACCTATTTTGATTTCTGTACAGAGGAAAAAATGCAACAAGAACATATATCAATCAGACAACTTTAATTCTTTTTGTTTTGGTGTATCAAAGAGTTCATATTTTCGTATTGCCGTGCAGAGTGCAGTATATAATTGTAACTTAGCATGCAGCTTATTGACTTACTGGGCTCCTCTTTGAATGACAGCCAGCCCATCCTCCAAGCGAAAGCCAATAAGAGCAGCAGAGCAGCAATGAAGGATGCAATCGTAATCAATGCAATGCGTAGACGTTTATATTTATCGGGACTAATATCGAACTCTGAAATTAGTGGGAAGAGAGCAATAATACATGAGTGTTCATTTGAACAAAATAAATTAAAAAGGAATTAATTCACGAAATAAAATATTACCAGGATTCACAGAAATAGCTGATATTAGAGGTCCATTAAAATTAGGCTGGTAAGCAATAGATCCCTTTCCAGGCCAGTACAAGTGGATCTCTAACAGATCACTATCATGTACAACCTCAGTTGAATGACTTACACTTATTGGTTTTTCTCCAATTCCCTCCTTATCTCTAATGTCGAAATAATTTAGTGTCCTGTTACCCTGCCACAAAATTTACCTAAAATGAGATGATGCAATAAATAAAAGTAGAATGATGTGATTGTTAACATGACCAAAAAAAAAAAACTCTTACCTGAATATATACATCAAATGCGCGTTTCCTTAGACTAGTATAGTCTGCAACATCGGTGTATATAATTTCATGGAAATGAAGCGTCACATTATATGTGCCTTTACGTAGACAAAAAGCATAATACTTGAGGGATACCGGGGACAGACGAGCTTTTTCATACAACGGTGCTTCAGTAATGGAAACTCCACGTGTTGTGCTCTTGATGAAATCACTAGTATTACTTTTTGGTACACCAATGTCTCCGGAAAGGCTGTAAGCCCAGTTTTTCTTTGGGCTTGTGTAAGAGAGGGATGTGTCATTATCTTGATCATATACATTCCCAAGAACAGTTGTCTCTTCACCACCGCAATTAATAAACAAGGAATGGTCTGCAGGAAAAATTAACACATAATATATCCTGCAGCATTTAGTTTGTTTTCAGGATGCCGATTTCTGAAGAATAAACTTACACTTTGGTTTGTTTCGAGGACAGTATGTGTTTTTCATTCCAAATGTATCCATCCTAAAAGTAGTTACCAATATGTTATACAAGGTTCTGATGATCGAGTCTCTTACTAATACAAAAGGGAAAAAAACATACATATCTGGTAAAGAGGTTGAGGAGTTGGGGCAGCAGGCAAACAAGTTCCTGAAAAGAAAAAAAAAGTTAAGGCCATGAAACAAAAAATTTCATAATTGATATTGTCTCCAACTTAAGCGACGTGCTACAATAGTTGTGGTGTGGTTTAAACAAAAGGCCTTGATGAAATTAGTAGTGGAAGTGGAACCATTCAATTTCGTCAACAGAAACATTAAAGAAGAAAGAACATATCCTCACAGTTGTAGGTTGCTTGGAACTGCAGAGTCTATTGCTGAAAAATTGTTGAACGAAAGATCCCTAAAAAATAACATAGCATGCATCAATCTCATTAATTAATTTGTACATATGAGCAAAAAATTAAAGCTGTTGCAAATGAAAGTCCTTCCAATTTCAGTTCAGAATATGAAGACATACATCCTAGTTTGGGAGGCCCGAAATATCCAACGTGGGATTGGCCCGTTAAGCATATTTCCAGAAAAAGACCTGAATATAATTAAGCGTATATATTATATTAACGCATGTAATTAACAAGACTTAGATCTGTAGTTGATCTAAATTCTTCCAGTTAAGAATGTTATTCCTTTACATGTAAATCATATCTGATTTCATATATTTAGGGAGGCCACCGGTTAAATAATTGAAGCTCAAGTCTCTGCAAGACAAAACACAGAGGATTAACAGTTAAAGGAGTTTTGATCTACAATGATATTAAGAACATACTCAATTATGGTTCCATGTAATTGGCTATATATTGTGAAATAAAAAATACAACATAGAAAGATATATCAAACGATGCTTAATTAATTATCTAATGACGCAGTTGAAAATTTGTTGGAGAGCGCTTTGAGAATAGCTAAAAGTACTTTTTAATAATTAAATGCAATTACGATTGACACAAAAAGTAATAAATGATTTTGGATCCTAAAAGTGTGTTTTGGAAAAACCAGTGCACATCATATACTTTTTCAAAAAACACTTGTAAGTGCTTTTGCAAGAAATCACTTGAATTTTTAATAACAAAAAAATTGAAACGTTTCTAATGAAAACACTTCTAGCATAAGCGCTTATGATTATAAAATAAGCCCTAAAACTGAATCAATTTTCTTTCCAGCCAAATTAACAGGACAACTCCAAAAGCAAAATTACAGAAGTGAAGTGAAATTACAGGTATCTTAGAGATGTCATTTCTTCACCAATGTATTTGGGGATTGGGCCGGTGATTGAGCAGTTCCTCAGTGTTCTGTAGAAAACGAACGTGAAGAATGAAAAATGAAGCCTTTGGGCACAAACTGGGCTAGAAGCAATTATTACAACAAGGCACTCACAGAGAAAATAAATTAGTACTGTTGGCGATCTTTTGTGGTAATGGGAAACTGTGATTCGTTGCCAGGTCGCTTATCAACCTGTAGAGGAATAAATATATACACATTTTCAACCTCTAATAATATATATATATATATATATATATGTGTGTGTGTAATGCTAGAAAAATTAAATTTGTAAACAAAATTTTGTAAATAAAATGACATGGAAGCTCATTATTGGATATTACTTAAACATTGATAAACGTGCTCATAGCTACTGGTAACATATTATTTAGTTTGCAAATTTTGCCTACAAATGTAACCTCCCTAGCATTAACCTACACACACACACACATATTATAGAACCAGCAAAGTGAAAGAAAGAGGAAGATGTCTTATACAGATACTGAAGGTTTTGCAAACTGAATATTTCTTCAGTCACCCGTCCTTCGAAATTGTTTCCCATGAGCACCCTGCACGCCGTGTAAAAAAATTGTCTTTTTAAGAAACCTTAATGGTAAGGGGTAGAGGATAATATTGCTCCCTGCTGAGTGTAAAGATGAAAATTACTTACAGGGAATAGATATTAGTCCACTTGGCTATGGTTTCAACTGGTAAGGGACCAGAAATGTAATTCCCAGCTATTGAACTGTATGCATTCACCAGTCACCATCATATTCTCTTAATTATTTAATTAATGTGTGGCAAACCTCAAATTAATCATTGACAGGAGTGAACACTTACAACTTTTTCAGGCTTGTGAGGTTGCCATAAGAAGTATTTGGAAATTTCTCACTCAAATAATTGGCCGACACAAGGCTGCGACAATGAAAGAGACACTCCTATGTTAATTACTTTTGCATATTAACTCTTGATTGTTATCTATTTTATTTAGTTTATAAGCGACGAGTTTGGTTTTTTTTTTTTTTTTTTTTTTATTTATTTGTCATTTAAACTTACAAGGTTGTGAGTGATTTCAACTTTCCGAGGCTTTCTGGAAGAGGACCAGAGAGCTGATTCTCAGACAGATCCCTGTGGGAAAAAAAAATGACAAAAGACTTCTTAGAATTAATGTTTTAGAAGATTAATTTATATATATATATATATATATATTTATTATCTAAACATGCATACAAATAAAATCACAAGTCTATAAGTATAATTAAATGTGGTGTAAGCAAAGAACAAACATAGTTGTAAGAAGCGAAAGATCTCCAAAACCCTCAGGAATTGTGCCTGATAGCATATTAAACTGCAGATATCTGCAAAAGCCGGTGAAAGTAAAGCATGCATGAAATGAATTAATCCATCACAAATTAAAATCTGAGGTGGAGGAGATTAAGAAAAGAAATAATTAATTAATGTACTCACAATTCAGTAAGCTTCGTCAGTGAACCAAAATTTCGCGGTATACCTCCGCTAAGCAAGTTGTATTGCAGATATCTATATATATAGAGCGTGAAAATGACTTGATTAGAATTTTAACAAAAGAAATTAATGGAAATTAATCAAGATGACTCTCCACAATTAAATTGGCGACATCAAGCCCTTACAAATATCGAAGAGAAACCAAGTCCCCTAAGCTTGCTGGTATTGGACCACTGAGTTGATTTTGCGATAGATCCCTTGATACAGAGAACCCCAATTCAGGATTCTAATTTTCACAAGTACATATTGATTAACAATGAATTTTCATGTAAAACTATCCATATATTCATAATCATGCAAATTCTAGTGTGTGCGTGTAACCATCTAGGATATATTTACTTACAAGGTTCCGAGATACTTCAAATTCCCCAATGTATCAGGTATGCTGCCATGAAGTTTGTTGCTGGATAGAATGCTTTTGATATGATATTTGAAAGAAAGAAAAAAAAAATTAATTAGGTTGAACTTATGATTTCTTTACACTCTTGCTTGGTGAATATTTTTGTGAAGGTTAGTTCTTTTTACACCCCCAAGGTTGTCACTGGAGTCTGCAACATAACATAAACAACTGAAATTACATTAAAGATTGGTGGGCAGAGAAAGAGTCGGATTACGTACAGTCTCCGTAGATTACTAAGATAACCCACACCTTCATGAATAGTTCCAGTTAAATCTAAATTGCTTATTTCACTGCCACACAAAATGAGTGCACAAAAAAAGGGTTAATACCGTTCTATACATAATTTAAACAAGATTTTGATGATTTATTTGACCTAATGCGTATTTGTGAAATACTGTTTCATACATACATTTCAGAGATGCGGCATAGATTAGTTGCATTATTGCAATCACAATTGAATGTAAAACCATAAGCTGAGATTCCATCGACGCACATTGTGTTTGTAATGACTGGTTGTTGCTTGAACTCTAAGTCTCTCATAATGGCTCGGAGAGCAGACACTGCCAATATTTCGGTAAGTAATTAATAAATACGATGATCAGGCCTCTTAGCTGAAATTAATTAATTAGTTAAACATGTGTTTGAAGGCGATTTAATCAGAAAGTTAGCTGATGATTAAAAAAGATGGAGTGATATTGGTAATGAATACCTTCATCAACCGGCAGTCGAGGCACGGCGGCTCTACAGTGGAATTTGGATTGAGGCCAGCGTCCAAGTTGCCAAAGTAGAATATGGTAAAAAACAAGCTTTGTAAGCTGCAGTCTAAGAGAAGGCTTACTCATTTCTATTGCTAGGTCGTGACTCGTTGTAGAAGATAATTTGCTCCATCAATGTCGATTACCTATATATATTACGAAATCACCCGTGGAAATGAGACCCATTTATATTATAAAGGTGGTCAACATCGCAATCGGTAATGTGGTCATCAATATAAAATATGTACTTGCGAACAATTTCATTACAAAAATGATACTCTTATCATATTTTTTATACCGTAATTGTATCACCTCTATAATATAGATAAGACTCACGTATGCTTATGGACCTTACCTTTATTAGAAAAATGATAAAAATGTGGTAAGTATAGCCACACTCATTTCATTATTTGAGAGCTCTTTAATAAAGACGATACTCATTTCATTATTTTTCAGAAACATTTTTGCCCACCACCGCTAGTTTTGATGGATGCTCACCTCTCCCCCACGGATTAAATTTAATATTAAAATACTTTTGAAAAGAGTTAAAAATAAATAAATTAAACATAATAAAAATTTCCCACAGGACTCCTCCTCTTCCTCTCTTTTCGACCCAATAACCACCACCCCGGCAACGGCTACAAACACCCCCGCCCCGAGGCCACCACCCTCCATTCCTCCATATTTTACTTCAAATCGTCCGGGCCATGGACGCCAAGTCCACCTCCGAACCCTCCATTCCTTAATTACAGTGATACTGATGTCGTTTTGTGGTGTTCCCAATTGGGTTTCTCCAATATTTCTTCTCTTTTGATGATATTAAGCACTTGAAGAAATGGGTTTACTTGTGATGATTTTATCCATGTTTTCAGTACTTGACTTATTTACTTATAATTTATAAATTAAAGGGCTGGGTTTGTGATTGTCTTGTATTATATAATTTGTATTTTGTCTGTTGGCTAATTAGTTATGTATGGAACGCAGTAATCGCACAATTTTTGGCACGGCATCGTTTCGTCTTCCCGGAGTCTCTCACACTTTTTTATTATTTTCTGCAAATTCGCAATTGGAATCAATATTGTAATTTGGATCTTCTGTATGGACATAAGTTTCTGGATGAAATAACACTTCACCACTTTTTCAACCAAAAAAAAAAAAAAAAAAAGAATAGAAAAACACTTCACCACTTTGGGATTTTTGATTTGTGATGTTTGCCCAATAACAGAGAAGGGGAAAAAAACGAGAGAGGAAAGAGATGGGGATGAGACGCTTGAGAATCTGAGATACAAATGTTAAGATTGCGTTGTTGAGTTAACATTTATCTTTAAGGTGTTTACAATGGCAGCACTAGTGTATTAAAATTCATCATTTAACATTTAACATTAAGGTGTGTGATGAACATTTATCCTTAATGGAATGCAGTAAAAAAAGATAAATGATTTCCAACGGAAATTCAAAAGAGATGTTAACAAGTCTATATCAGCAATAACGTTAAAAAAAGGCAGTACTAGTGTTTCTCAACTGAAATTCCAATTCATATGTGGCATGACATAAAATGATAACAAAGAGAGTTGCTGACAGCTGCTTCAAATCTATTTTTAGTGGGTAATAAATGTTTTTTACAATTTTTGTTAGGGAATTGTTCTTAACACTCCAAAATTCTCAATCTACACTCCAAACTTTCTATATTTAGAAAGAAAAATACACTTGTGAGGAGTGTAGAATGAGATTTTTGGAGTGTCAATAACACTTCCCTTTTTGTTATTACCTTTTGTTTTAGAAATACTAATTACAACTAATATGTAATTAATAATAGTTTAAATCTGACGTATCAAGTGAAGAACAAAATTTACAAAAAGATTAATGTGCCACATAAGTGATGAATGGTTTAAGTGTATGATGAATCAAGAGGAAGGTTCTATTAAAAAATGGTGAGCATACGCTATAGTTATGATGATGAGCAAAAATGCTCCAAAAAAGTGATTAAATTACATAGACGCTGATGTGGATTTTATAAAATAGAACTAAAAAAGGGAAAGAAAAAAAAAACTGAAGAAAAAACCTGTAAAGGTGCAAACAAGAGGTCAAAACCTGCATGGGAGAGATACCTCCATTTGTTTCCTGCTTATCGACCTTCAATCTTGTCAAGTCTTTGCTCTATCATCCTTGAATAGAACCTTCCTCTTGATTTAGTTTCAAATCCCTGCTATGGTTTATTTGTCCATATTTAATTTGTTCTGTGGTTCTGCTGCTAATAAGTTTTGAATAAGATAACCCCCAACTATTACACCAAAATTTCATGGCTCTTGTAGCATGGCAATTGTGTTTAAATCAAAATAGATAGATTTTGTTACTGCAATTAATGACAGATTTTTCAATGAGCTGGGAATATAGGGTAGTACATCACATATCACTATACAAGTGGAGGAACACTTGAAAACTAAATTTTTCTCCATTCATACAATGGCATGGTGTACATACCACTCCAGCCACACTAATTTCAAACAAAAACCAAAACCTCAATAACATAAACCCCAAGTTTTCTTCTTCACGAATAAGGAAGATTGTTTATAACATGAATACCTCCCATCGTCTCATCCAATCGATTCTCTCATATCTATCTATGTTCGTCGGGATTGCCTATATCATCTCCCGCCCTAGCTAGGATTCGATTGATTATCACCATTTTTCACAGACTAGATCCAGGGTTCCCCTGCCAGTCAGCATCCACGTTCGTGCTATATATGTTGAACCGACCAAAACTAGAATTAGAGCGACGCCCCACCAAGCCTTCCGAGGCCGTCGCGGTTTAAGCATCATTATTTTTAATCAACTACGCTTGTTTTAGATTTATGACGTGGAAAAGGTGTTATTGAACTTGAACAATGGCGCATTTTATGCATCATAAAGCATATTTTGTATGGCACCCTCATTTATGTTATTAATGACGGAATATGTAGTAGTGTCTCCATTTCTTCTCTTCAAACTTTTCTCTAGTTTTATTCATACACGTTACTGTAGTTATCAGGCTACTTAGAAATATTGGTTAAGTACTTTATGTTCTTGCTCTCAAATTTTCAATATTTTATTTTCATTGCTTGTTATGTTTTTCTCATTCCCCTCCCTCATACACTAAATAACTCACGTCATCATCACTGCCCTTGTCGATGTGCTCTGCTAAATCCAGCTCGTTTCACACCTTCTGTGAGGCTGTGAGAAACAAATGAATCGTTGTCTAGAATGAGGATTTGGATTATTTTGGTGGTCCGTGTATATGGCCGATTATGATTTTCCATCTGAGGCTACTTCTAATTAAAAAGGGTATATATATTCGTTTTGATTTAGATTTGATGAATATACACACACACACACATATATATACATATATGATGAACTATACAGTAGATTGTTATATATAAAACATAGAAGCCAAATTATGGAATATGAAATTATTGCCTGATTAGTTTGACAGAACAAAAGAAAAAAAAATCTAGTACATTACTATCACAGATTCACAATGTAAAGTGATTGTGGGGTTGTTTGTAGAGATTAAGATGGTTGTTTAGAAGTCCAAAATAGCCACCAAATTTTGTGAAGAGATCCAAACACAAAACATTAGGTATTCGAGAAAAATAATACCCAAGATAGTTTATTGGATATGCAACGAGATGTACAAGAAACTCATCAAAAGAAAATAGAGCGGATTGACAAGAAAAAAAAGGGGGGTTTTGAACTTTGATCTTTGAAGAAGATTAAAATTTAATAAAAATCTAGTGTTAGATTGGATATTGATTTTAGTCCTACTTAATTCAAATTCATATTATATTTTTGTTTTTATATTTAATAGATATCTTATTTAATGTCATTACATTAAATTTAAATTTATTATTATACACATTTTAATTCATTAATTTTATTTAACTTCTTCTAATTAGTGTACCTAAACGTCTGTATCATAATATATTTTACTAAATTAGTGTACCGAAATGTCCGTACCTAAATATATTGTAATACCTAAATACATTGTAGTGAATTAGTGGCACATAAGAAAATATGCAAAAATATAAGTGTACCAAAAATTCCGTACCTAAATATATGATACTAAACTAGTGTACCGAAACGTATGTACTTAAATATGTTATACTAAACTTGTCATATCCCAATCCGGCTCCTCCGTAGCACAATATTGTCTGCTTTGAGCTTACCATTCCCTCACGGATTTGTTTCTGGGAACTCAGACGAGAACTTCCCAATGGGTCACCCATCATAGGATTGCTCTCACCCGAACTCGCTTAACTTTAGAGTTCCGATGGAATCCGAATCCAGTGAGTTCCCAAAAGGCCTCGTGCTATAGGGAGGGGAGCATATACATATAAGGTACATCACCCCCTATCCATTGGTCGATGTGGGATCTTACAAAGCTAGTGTACCGAAATGTCCGTACCTAAATATATTATACTAAACTAGTGTACTGAAATATTCGTACCTAAATATATTACAATGAATTAGTGGCGCATAAGACATATGCAAAAATATAAGCGTATCGAAAAATCTCTACGAAAATATTTTCTTATATAAGATACTTACCATAATGAGAAATAAAATTTATAATATAATCTTAAAATTTTATATATGAACACCATAAAATTATAAATAAAAAAAAGACATTAAATACATATACCGGCATTAAATAGAGTATAGGGACTAAAATCAATTTTTAATTTTGTATAAAACATTTTTCTAAACTTCATCTTATTTAATAATTAAAAGCTAGTTTTCTTTAAAAAATGAGGAGGAGAAAATTAGAAGCATGAGTGTTTGGGGAAGGGAGAAATAAATCACAGTTAATGATAGAGGAGAGTGAATCAAATTCATAAATAAAAGAGAGTTAATTGTGAATTAATTAAAACACAATCTCTTATTCCTCAAATTCTTTGATAGATGGTTAAGTGGAGATAATATTAGTGGCATTGGTAGTGGACTATGCTGGCCTGAAAGTTTATCACAACCGTAAATTGTGGATTAATTAAGAATAGAGGAGACCCTAAACCAAGAAGTTAAGGATTACATTTATGTAACCAACATCTTATTCAATTTTAAACATATTGCCTTTATCCCTCTTGCACCAACTAGACCTTTATTC